CCAAATTTTATTCTATGTGTGTGTGTGTTTTAAAATGTAAAAAGTGGGAAAATAAAACTTTATTATTCCTGGGTAAATATATAATACCATAGTGGAGATATCTATAGTTTGTCCTATAGATATACAGTCTACTAAATGCCTGCTTAGGCAAGCCCTGGGACCAGGTTGAATATTCTGCACCACATGCTGTTCTGAACCAATTCCCAGGTGTGCAGAGTCTGGGTGTGGTGGCACATGTCTGTAATCCCAGTGCTGGAGAGGCTGAAAGCAGGAGGATATATAAGAGTGTGAGTGCATAGTGAGACCCTGTAACAAATTCATTAAAAAAGATAAAGTAAACTGCCTATAGATATGCAGTCTGTGTTATAATCTTCCCTAAGTAGTCAATGATGGCAGAAGACTCTGTTCAAGCAATACAAATAACACTGTAGCCAGGGTGACTTCCTATGTTAAATATCTGCTTGATATTTCTAATTCTTATCTATATTCAAAGGCAAATGAAGACCTTTAAGCACATCTTAAGGTAGTTCAATGTTGGGTAATTTTAGATTTTTTTTTTCCAGAATGAGAATGAGCATCTCTTCCTTATTTGCAATGATATTTGCTGAATTTAATTATGTATTAAAATATACAGCATGTCTTCTATTATGAGTAATCAGGACATGCAAATGTGTAGGCTTCAGCTCTATATTTTCATATGTTTTATTGGATGATAAGCAATGACTTTATCTCACAAATATCTGCCTTGGGGAAAACGTTTGACCTTTGAAAATTAAGGACCTTGGAACTTAGGTATATCATCAAGTAAGGAAAAATTTTATTAGCTTCTTTCAATTATTAAAATATATTTACATCATAATATTTTAATCTACAGGTCAGTCTGGAACATACACTGCAACTGCATAATTAATTATCCAGTCCCTGTAACACTAAGTCAAACTCTATGCAGCCTTTGACTCAGAAAATTGGTCTAAAAACTAAATGTTGCATAGCAAGAGACAGTGAGAGAAACAACTAAGAGTGAAGAGACAACCCATCATTTTGGAAAAAGTATGTCAGCTGTTCCTCAGGCAAAAGAATACTGTGAAGAACATATAAAGGACTCAAGAAAATTAAAGAGACAGAAGCCCCTGATTTAAAGATATAATCCAAAAGCAGGTGTCTGAAATGAATACACACTTCTCAGACAAAGAAGTACAGACAGAACATACATATATGAAAAATGTTCTATATCATTGGTCATTTTGAGAGATGCACATTAAAACAACACTCAGGAGAATCGTGACGGGCAGGAAACCATTACAACACCACCCCGGCTGCGCTCTCGGCTGCCGCCGCCACTCCCAGCCCTTGCCTCAGGTATACATTAAAGATCCAGAATCATGATTGACTCCAAGTACTTCACAACCAATAAAAAGGGAGAAATCTTTGAATTAAAAGCTGAACTCAACAATGAAAAGAAAGAAAAGAGGAAGGAAGCTGTGAAGAAAGTGATTGCTGCTATGACCGTGGGGAAGGATGTTAGCTCTCTCTTTCCAGATGTAGTCAACTGTATGCAGACAGATAACCTGGAGCTAAAGAAGCTCGTGTACCTGTACTTGATGAACTATGCCAAGAGTCAGCTGGACATGGCCATCATGACTGTCAACAGCTTTGTGAAGGACTGTGAAGATCCCAACCCTTTGATTCGGGCCTTGGCAGTCAGAACCATGGGGTGCATCCGGGTGGACAAGATCACAGAATACCTTTGTGAGCCCCTTCGCAAGTGTTTGAAGGATGAAGACCCCTATGTCCAGAAAACCTCAGCAGTCTGCGTGGCAAAGCTCCATGACATCAATGCCCAGATGGTGGAAGATCAGGGATTCCTCGATTCTCTATGTGATCTCATAGCAGATTCAAATCCCATGGTGGTGGCTAATGCTGTAGCAGCATTTTCAGAAATCAGTGAGTCTCACCCAAACAGCAACTTACTCGATTTGAACCCACAGAACATTAATAAGCTGCTGACAGCTCTGAACGAATGCACCGAGTGGGGCCAGATTTTCATCCTAGACTGCCTGTCTAATTATAATCCTAAAGATAACCGGGAAGCTCAGAGCATCTGTGAGCGGGTAACTCCCCGGTTATCCCATGCCAACTCAGCAGTGGTACTTTCAGCCGTAAAAGTCCTAATGAAATTTCTGGAATTGTTACCCAAGGACTCCGACTACTATAATATGCTGCTGAAGAAGTTAGCGCCCCCACTTGTTACTTTGCTGTCTGGAGAGCCAGAAGTGCAGTATGTTGCCCTGAGGAATATCAACTTAATTGTCCAGAAAAGGCCTGAAATCTTAAAGCAGGAAATCAAAGTCTTCTTTGTGAAATACAATGATCCCATCTATGTTAAACTAGAAAAGTTGGACATCATGATT